GGCTGAAGCATTTTTGTCTATCTTTCCCAGAATAACGGTTTTTCCTTTTCACATATGTCTTCCTCTGGTGATAAGTTAAAGGGGATCCCTTCCTTGAAGGAGTTCAATGGCCTAGGACAGTGGTCGGGCAAACTCATTAGTCAACAGAGCCAAATATCAACAGTACGATTGAAATTTCTTTTGAGAGCCAAATTTTTTAAACTGAAACTATATAGGTAGGTACATTGTTATTAACTTAATTAGGGTACTCCTAAGGCTTAGGAAGAGCCACACTCTAGGGGCCAAAGAGTCGCATGTGGCTTGCGAGCCGCAGTTTGCCGACCACGGGCCTAGGAGATGCCTTAGTAGGAGGTTTCACAATACTCACTAAACCAGTCCCCAGTGAAAGCCAACATATCCACTGGGTTTAGGCTTGAGTTTAAAGGCAAGTAAGAACTGCAAATGCTAGTTCACCCTTCTCTGGGAAAGGTGTAAAAAATGCTAAGGCCAATGCTGGGTTTATAAACTGTTACCCAGAACCTCTGCTAAGCTTCCCTGGCTCCTCAGATGGAAACAACGGGAAATTGGGGCATATGTTGGTTTGCCATCCCATTTTCTTTGGGGTTTAACAGTGCTGCACAGAAGCCCCAATCTGAAGGCCAACAGAAGGTGATTTCTACAACTTCAACAACTATTGTTAAGTGTCTGCAAGAATATGTCCTTTTCAGAAATAAGTCAAACCAACACAGGGTTAATAAAGGCTTTAATTTCACACACACAAAAAAACCTCTATGCATAATTTAAAAAGGAAACCTAAACAAGGAAAAACTGTAAAGAATACAGAGGAACAGTTCTGCTAAAACACAGATAAAGTGCCGCTCCATACAAAACAAAACATAAAGATTTAGAATCAGAAGTCACTCTGAACACAAAGAAAATCACCTCACAGATAATGTGGCCAAAGCTGCCAGCAAACCTGGTAGTGGCTCAACGAGGCAAAGTGTAGAAGCTTACTTGTTTTCCTTTTCTGCATAAATAAACACTTAACAGGCCAGAGCAGTCAGAGGGAAGGAAACCTGGGGCCCCGAGGTGTGTACAACCACATGCAGTCATTCTTCGCTTCCCCTCCCGTTCTTGAAGTAGACCAGCCCATTCGATTCTCTTCTTTGTTTTGGCCTAATGAACTTGGGTTCTGATCCAGACCCTCAATACACTCTATTTTTACGTCAGTGTACACACCTATTCTTCATCTCTGTACTTTAAGAAAAGTACAATGTTACCAAAATCAATTGCTTATATTCATACTGGCACACTTTGTATTAAAATATCAAAACCTCAGACACATAGCAAGGAAAGGAAAACTTACTGTTTATAAATATGATACAACCAGAGAAACTGCCTGAGGCCTAGTAATCAAAGCATGCCATAGGAGTCAATGGTTGTGGTGAGACACAGCAAAAGAATTCTGTTACACAACTCTCAAGGCCTAACAAACTATAGTTTCCCAATTTAAAAAGATTTTTTTTAGAGGTTAGTAAGACCCATCGATAGAGACAAAATCAGGGATCTGAAGTAATATAGTAGGAAGTCGTTAAGAGGTCAGAAATCGGGTTTTCGTACACATTTAAAAAGAGCATTACTCAGTGTAAGCAAGATGGGAGGAGAAAAAGGACACATCTGTTTTTGGGACACATTTTTATGTGACTTGCAACTGGTACTAGGTTGTTGGTGGTTTTTCTAAAGATCTCCACACATATACAAGATCCACATGTACTTGGAGATCTAGCTGTTTCCCTGACTTAAAACACTACCTAAGAGCGTCAATGAAATCAAACAGGGCAAAAGATGGCTGGATGACTAAGAGCATCCACTGTTTCATTTCAGAGGACAGAGAAGAGTGAGCAAGAAGGGTAATGTTTTTATTAGTTTTAACATAATTTCTTTTCAGATCACAAATGAGTTTATAAACTACCTTCTTTCTGTATGTTTCCAACCCGCCCCCCCTATGCTCTCTCTACAATCAAAGTACTCAACTATATATGAGACATTGCCAAGAATTTCTTTAATTTAGATGTTTTCAAACAACTTTCATTATACAACTATATCTATAGTTGTAGCTATATTTATATAGTTACATAATGGTAACGGCAGTATGGAAGGATAAGTAAAGCCAGGAACTCACTTGCTGAGGTTTTAATTCTTAAAGCTTTTCTTTCAGAAGAATTTTACACTAGACAAAGAAAGAATTGTGTAGTCTGTTTGCCTCCCAGAGTTAGCTGATAGTTACTTCTTAAAATGTAAACACATTTACATTTGTTATATTTGCTATTGAACAATTAAATTAGTAAAGTAAATTGGCAAGTAAACAAATAGTGTTTGGAATAAAAATATAAATAGAACAAGTCATGGATTTGCTTCTTTTCTAGTTTGCTGAAACAAAACTTATGAGCGCGCGCACACACACACATATTTTGCCCACAGAACAGAGTCTATCTTCTCCCAGGCTTAAATTATAGCCATGGCTACTAAAGTGACAAGAGAGAGCATTTGACAACATACAACCTTCCAATTCTCCATTATAATAGCCAATAAGAATCAAGTTTGAATTTGTTTTTCCCTTTCAAAAAAGTTCCAATTAAGATCAGTTGAGTGCAGAACTAAGTGCTGTCAAGTTCCAATTCAATGCCATTTAGAAAAATGTAACCACATGTGGTATTTTCAATAGGAAATTTATTGTGCAGGCTGCCTAGAACTGAAGCACTCTGTCCCTATTTCAGTTGTCCCTTCCTGGCACAACATGCCAAATGCCATCCAAACCCCGACTCTGAGCAAACTGATCAGACTGCACACAAAAAAAATCTACTTATAATTTTTAAATATATAGTCAGCTCAAAAATAAAACAATAAATCCCATCAACATGGTCCAGATAAAATCTCCATCTATAGTCATTAATCCTTCACTAAATCAAAACAAGAAAGTAATTTAACTCATCTACCCCAGTAACCTGTATTCATTCAACTAGTAAGTTCTGCCCAAGACATGAAGATCAAATCAAATTAGGTTTCTGAGCGAAGAGTACTTCTAAACCATACACCACAACCAAGCTATGAAAAGCAAGTCAATGAGGGTATTTCATGGGCAATCTAGGCTTATCGCATTATTTCTAATTTTTTTTAATGCCCTAATGTACCCCTCACTTCAAATCATTCCCAATCATTTTTAACAATACCTCTCAAGGCTCTCAAATACAGACACAGGGAAGAGGAATAATAGCTAGAGAATTTGATCACCACTTCATTTGTGTAAGAAAACGTTATTTCCAAGAAATAGAAAAAAAAAAGGAGCTCCCCAGTAGAAATAAAACATAAAAAAGCTAGTTTTTAAAACAAGTATTTCCCTCTGCTCTATACTACTCTTGCGTATTGTACCGCCATACCATTTGGAACGTTTACTGGAGTAATATCTAAGTAAGTGGTAGGAAGCAAAGCTTTTATCAGTAGTTAAGCAAGAGTGCTGGGGCTGTTTACAATCCAAAAATTCAAAATTTTAGAAGAGGTTACTATGTCAGAACACATCCAAGTTTTAAGAGTGGGGCTGGAACTCTCTTATGGCAATTTTCCAGAAAAGGTGTTGCATCTTCTGTGACAATGAACTTTACACTTGAAAACCTGTTAACAGTTTTTTCCCTACCTCAGAAGAGTAATTTGTTTACAATAAAAAAGCAAAAAGAAACAATATTGAAGGTTTCATATTGCTATACTTAACTGTATGATCCTAATGATCCCTGGGCTTACAAAATTATTTTTTGGAGAATTCTACTTTCAAACTCATTCTTTATATAGTTTCAAAAGCTGCAAGTCCTGAGATGGCAGTAGCCCCATCAGGAGGTGCTGAACCAAGCTGATTATGTCAGCTGAGTGACTAATGCAGCAATTAATGCTGTACCCCCATTTAACCTCAACTCGAAGCACCTAAAAAGTAGAACGAACACATTATGCACCTTTATATGTTAGTTCTTGGGATTATCTAAACCAATCACACTTTTAATTCCCATTCTGTTTTAAGGGCAAAGCCAGACAGTGGAAGGTTAAATGTTCACCTTTATCCTACAGCTCATGCACTTATTTCACACTATAGTAGGGTTTTTAGCTTTAGTGGTCCAGAATTTTAACTTTTAACACAAGAATACTCCTCTTGACCTCTTGGAGAGACAGAGATTCTAGTATTCCTCCTTATCCCTAAGTATCCTTGCTGGGGAGTCCCAATTGGGACAATATTATTTCCCTACCTTTTAAAGTTCTGGTTGAACTCTGTTAGGATAATGCTTACTCCATAAAATAATTATTCTATCTTCACCACTGTAATATAGATGATATACAATGAATATACTGTGTGAAGGAATCTCTTTAAAGGAAATACAAAGTGTATAATAAATACCAAATGTGGAACCAAAACACATTCCAAGCACCAACAACAATCCATTTCTTGGGACTACATGTAAACAGCAAAAGCATTACGAATCCATGAATTTTTAAAAAATAGCCCCCCAAGTCAGGTGGCAGAAATGCCCCTCTTTTGCAAGGAGGACAAACTGTCATTAGTGTAACATGGAGAGCTTATTTTCCAGTGACCTTTACTAATAAGAAACACACATGAAAGATTACAGACTTGAGTGAAACTACTCAAGGAACTTAAAAGCCAAATGTCAACTGATATGTATATCTGTACACATTTCTCAGGTGAATGGATTCTTTGACAACTTAATTTCTTCTCCAAACTGCTGTGCTATTAATTTTGAGCAGGCATATTCTGGTGGCTCATCCTAACTCTTTAAGGCTCCATTCATTCCACATATATGTTTGTATGTACATATATATATTTACAACAAGTATTTCCAAGACAAAAGGAAGTGCTACTCTTGTAGGAGAAAAAGAAGATAATCAGCTATAGAGGTGAGACCAAAGTTTCCATAAAACAATTAGCATGGAGCATTCCACATAACTGCAATTTTCATCTTTTGGTTTGGCCCTGAGCTGTTTGTTGCTCCCGCATCAAATAGAGTTCTAACTTCTCCTCAGGTGGAGGAAAGTGAAGTGGGTGACAGTAAAGGAGAATATGCAGTGCACACTGCCAACCCAGCAGTTTGTTCTTCACGAGGCCTGACGAGTGGTCTTCCCCACTTCCATGCTGAATGCCTGAGAGTTCTTTTCTGTTTCCAGCAGCTCATCAAAAATCTCCCTTAAAATAAAACAAAAAAATAAGCATTCAATGAGCAAAGCCAAAGAATATACAGAAAATAGATAATGATAAAGCCTGCATAATCCCATTTGGTACCTAAATCTTATTGCATAAGCAGCTCATTCATTTAATCACCATCTTAACCCCAAGTGCTGATTTTTGAAAACATTAGGAGGGAGGAGGCTGGCAAGAGCCAGCTTTCATAAAAATGTTATGTAGTTTCCATAGATATAACTCAGATCTTCTAGCTGATACAACTAGAAGACCAAAAAGGTTTATGATAAGACAGCTTCTATCATAAAACAGTCTTAGGTTCCATACCTAGATGCTACTGTGTGATAAGTAATTAATGCTGAATTAAGAGAGAAAATATTCTGGACTTATAAGGAAATAAAACATGAGCCCTAAGCAAAGATAACAAAACAAAAAATTATCAACCAATTAAATAATGGGAACATTTTATTCTTAAGGAAGAAAAAAGAGTTGGATAATTTTTAGCCCATGTCTTCAGATCTGGGAGTTTCTTTCTTTTTTTTTTTTTTTAAAATATATTTTATTGATTTTCTACAGAGAGGAAGGGAGAGGGATAGAGAGCTAGAAACATCGATGAGAGAGAAACATCGATCAGCCGCCTCCTGCACACCCCCCACTGGGGATGTGCCCGCAACCCAGGCACATGCCCTTGACCGGAACCGAACCTGGGACCCCCCAGTCCGCAGGCCGACGCTCCATCCACTGAGCCAAACCAGTTTCGGCAGATCTGGGAGTTTCTTACTTGTGCATGTAAAAGAAGATGTAACCACTCCGATCCCGATCACTCTGCACGGAAGCCTCTTGGATTTTAGATACCTCTAGGTCATTGTAAGTAAACCACGCTTGCTTCTTAATGTCATACACATCACTAATGTAATGACCTGAAATAAAGAAAATCTTAAAATTGAGGTCTGTAAAATTTTTTGGCATTTCTCTGAGGTATAGGAAGTTTCAGAAAGAAAAACAGCCACCCCCTCTACCTTACTCCTACAGAAGTTTCTAAAAACCACTCAAAATACAAGTAGAAACATTTAAGGTAGAAATATACTACACCAGACAACTTTTTGACAAAAGACTTCAATGTTTTTCTTGATGCATTCAACTTACACCTCACAAAGCAAGGCACAAAACAACCTAATAAGGAGTAAATGTTGGCTGCTCATTTATAAAATGCTAAAATCATTTTGTCCATTTACCTGAAGAAGAAGTGCTACCAATGTGACTGACAACACTGATGAGCCGATAGGAATGAGGAAGATATCCTGTCTGGAAAACAGAAGTGGGAATGACTTTAAACTCATTTGAATAAAAAGCAAAACACTAATTTTAAATTTATTATCAAAGGTGACATGGCTAAGTTTTAGTGTGTGTGTAAAGTCAGATACAATAAAATATCCAGTGGTTGGTATTGTGCATATTCTTTGATCCAAGAATTCTACTCTCAACAAGAATGTATCCTAAAAAATAATTCAAGCCCAGTTGGTGTGGCACAATGGCTGAGCGTTCAACTATGAGCCAGGGGGTCACAGTTTGATTCCAGGTCAGGGTACATGCCCAGGTTGTGGGCTCAATCCCCAGTGTTAGGCATACAGGAGGCAGCTGATCGATGATTCTCTCTCAATATTGATGTTTCTCTCTATCTCTGAAATCAATAAAAATATATTTTAAAAAATAATTCAAAAGAAGAGTACATGTATAAATATTTTTTTGTAGCATTATCTTTCTTTTTTATAATTTTTTTAATTGATTTCAGAGTAGAAAGGAGAGGGAGAGATTATCTTTAATAAAAAAAGTTGGAACTAACAATAGGCCCAATAATAGCTAAACCATTAGCAACTCAATACCATACTATTCAGCTATTTTAAAAAATCATGTGGGTTACCAACATATTATCCTGTTTTCTAAACCTACAAAAATGCACATAATAACCATAGTTCTATAAAAATAGGTATGTCAATAGTTAAGTACTCAATAACAGAATAAAAAAATGAAGAGTTGCCCTAGCTGGTTTGGCTCAATGGATACAGCGTCAGCCTGCAGACTGAAGGACCCCAGGTTCTATTCCAGTCAAGGGCACATGCCTGGGTTGTGGACTCAGTCCAACGTGCAGGAGGCAGCCAATCAATGATTCCCTCTCATCATTGATGTTTCTCTTTCTCTTCCTCGCCCTTCTTCTCTGAAATCAATTGAAATAAATAAATAAATAAATAAATATAGTTATGGGTGAACATTTACATTTTAAATATTTCTAAAAATGCTATTAAAATATTGTTAGTAAAAAAAATAAAACAAAAACTGAAAAGATATTTCTGCACTGAGGCAGCACTATTAGGTATAATTTTGGGAACAAATATAGCTATATGGAAACCAGAAATCATTAAAATAGTCATAAACTTTGATGTAGTAATTTACTTCTAGGGATTTAGAGAAAAAATCCTAAATATAGAAAATGTTAGAATAATATAGTTCCATTTAATGTATTATTTTTTACAGTGAAAAAACAGAAACAACATAAATGCTCAATGTTAAAAATACAGTAAAAAAAAATGAAAGATTCCAATGCGTTCTCGTAACATTATTACTTTCAACAGTTTTTATAGTTTCAGTAGAACTAAAAGAAATTTAATATACATGTGACTTTGAGAGCCATGTCACTTGGTTTTACCTAACTGCACGTAAGGTAGTCAGGATATATTTCTGTTTTTGTTCCATTTTGTTTTGAATCTTGTAAGAAATGAGAAGCAAAGGACAAGAGAAAGTAAAGACAACTTGATGGCTACCAAAGGGGCAGAAATGCACCTCAATGGAAACTGGCAGTGGGGCCTATGAAGATGAAGAGGAGGAGCAATACTGACCGACTGACCAGTGCTACTCAGGGAACAGAAAGTCACCTACCTCAGCATTTCTCTTCAGTTCCTCAGCTTCAGCTTCTGTGTACTCCATATCTAAAACATCCTCATTTCCAGAATCTTCATCAGAACCCAATGAATCCAGAAAAGAGTTGTTAAACTCTGAAGAACACAAAGACAGAGTCTTGTAAAATTTCTTGGAATAGACACAAAGAGATGATTAGGAAGAAAAGAACAGCTTGGGTACACATTTTATCGTCCAATTCACCCAGCCAATTCTGGGGACCAACAACTCAGGTAGCTGATATCTATAAAAGAAATGCTCCGTTTTCTTTTAAATATATCTATATGAAAGGTATACAACTCACACAAAGAATAAAACTGAAGAGGAGAATTTAATTTTAAAGATAATCCAAGTGTATTAAATCCTATATTATAGAAACAATTTTTAAGTACATGGTGCATATTGTAGGCAACACCAGCAAATATAAATTATCTCACAGAAAAGAGACCATAAAAAGGTCACTATCCTTTCATTCTCTTTAATATTAAATCATTTTCTTGAAATTTAACAAAAATAAAGGAAATTTAACCTTTAACTCTTAAATTTCAACTTAAATACATTATACAAACAAATCCAAGGTCCATTTTTTTTCTTTAAATAATAAATCTATCTTTAAATAATCACAGGAACATTTGTGCATTAAATGGCTCTTTGCTCTGAAATATATTTAATTCCACTAAAATCACAGAATAGAGCTGTTTAAAGCAGCGGTTGCCAACCTTTTGGACCTCACGGACCACCGGTTGGTGACTGATGGTTTAAAGGACATGAACACCTAAGAATGGGAAGAATAGGAAAAAAGACTATGGCCTCAAAATCCTGGAATTTGAAAGCAGATGGGTGACAGACCTGAGAAAGCCAAAGTCAAATCCTAAGCCATAATGGAAAAATTGAGAACCATCCAATTTATATCACCAAAATTTCAAAAGACATACAACTTGGAAATACCAGGTACCTCTGAAACTAGAGGCTAAATTGGGGATAAAAATAATGATTAGATGAAAGTTATTTGAGAAACAGACTCCTAGGATGCACTTTACCCCACTTGATGCTGCTAGAATAACTAAAGTCTGGAACTTTATTCTGTGGAGAGGGTAAAACAGTTTCTGGATAGAGTGTGCCAGGCAAAGGGGAGGCTATGAGTACCACACTGAAAATAGGAGTAGGTAATAGCCTGCATACTGAAGGATGTGCATATCCTCCTCCTCAGTCCTATTCTTACACTTGTCTTTCAGAACTCTGGCAGCCATATCTTTTATCTCTAGGCAAAGGAAAGAGATTAGAAAACTCTTTAGGAATCTAACCAGCCAAAAGACAGGGTAAAATATTAACATCATCCCCATACAGTCCCATCCTGTAAAATTCAAAAGTTGACTAGCCCAGTGATTCATATGTTCAGAGTGTCCAATCATTTATTTAGTCCCCTATTCTTAACCATAAGCTGACAATCAAGTATTACTAGATATCCGAGGAAAGCCTCTAATAAGAAATATAAAAACCATAATAAACATAGTACAGAGCAATCTGGAAGAGATGGAATCTATTCAGCTATAGTAAACTTGAAATAAACAAACAAATGAACTATATTTAATATTCTCAGAGAATTGAGATGGTATTGTTTCCAAACCAAAACAAACAAAAAATTACAAAAAAGAAACATTCACAAAACAAATCAGTTTTAAAAAAAATAAATATAGAAATAAAACACTCAAAAGTTTTGGAGTTGGAGATAAGGTTGGAAAAACTTTCTAGAGGTGAGTAAAATGACAAGATCAAAACAAGAGATAAGAAAATTAAAAGGACTATACTAGAAAGTCTGGATAATATGAGTTTCAAAAGAGAAGAGAAAGAGTGGAAGGGAGGAAATCAGTGAAAATTTCTTAGAATTCAAGGATACATTTCTAGATTAAAATGATTCATCAAGTGCCTTGCAAAAAGGATGAAACAGACTCACATCAAGGCACATCACTGTGAAACTTCATTACAGCAAAAACAAAGAGAATATACTACTAGCTTTCAGAGAAAAAGAGATCACATCAGGATAAAGAAAGAACAGCTTTAGATTTTTCACACAGCGACCCTGCAAACAAGACTTCTCCCATTGCTCAGCAGGATGAAGTTGGCGGGACACAATGTTTTCACAATGACTGCAAATCCGGAATTCTATATTTAGCCAGACTACTAATAAAATACTACAGTAGAATAAAACTTGCAAGGTTTCAAAAAAAAAAAACCCAAGTCATATCCCCTCTATTTCAAGAAAACTTGGGGGTGCTCTCTATCAAAGTACAAATAAATCAAGAAAGACGAAGAGTGAGATATAGGCAATGGCAAAGAGAGGAAAGAATCAGATGGAACTCGGAGAAGAATGATTAGGGTGATCTTAGGATGGTTGTGCATGGATGTAGAGGGCAACCAGTCCAGATTGGAGCAATAGGATTCGACACGGACATCACCACCACCATAATACCATCTTTTTAATTTGAGAGTAGAATGCCTGGGTGAGCTTAGCTTGAATTCTTATTTTAATAGTCTCAACCATGTCCCAAATTCTTGCTCTTTCCTGCATGTGTAGACCAGTCTTTCTCATTTTATACTATCAAAATGTTTTGCTTTGATCTATTTCTGAGAGTTGGAGGAAGATCTCAATAATCTTAGAAACAGAAAATACAGACTTAAGCTCACTTCCTGTGGTTACATGTCCCTGTGGCCTTGCAGCACCTGGTTCATATATTAGTTCTGCCAAATGCCATAACTACGGTGAACCTTACTCTTCTGAATACTCGCTCATAACTGCCCACTGATTTTCACAGAGTGAGTTCTTGTAAATTCATGGGGAAACTGAAGCCACCTTATTTTCTCCTAGGAGTCTTAACAGTGGGATACTGCTCTTTCATATAAATGGATTACAGATAGACTGTCCCTGCTATTTAATTTTTTCAAAATTAAAAAATGTATATTGTTTAGGAATATGGATACAGTAAATACTGTTTGTTTTTTTTAAAGCAAACTACTAATGAATACAAATGTTAGAATCGTGGTTTCTTTTAGAGGGAGGAGGAAAGAAGGGGAATCCAGATATCTTCTAAGATTCTATTTCTTTACCTGGGAGGTGTTCAAATTTGTTATTGTTATTAAAAATAAATTTTACATGCTTTTCTCTGTGTGATTCATTCCACCATTAAAAAAAAGTAATTAAAATAATCTCCACACCTTGAAGACTTAACTCTGTAGCTCTTTTGAGGTCATCATCTTCTTTCTGTTCCCAAGCCTCCTAAAAAGACAAGAATAAAACTAAGTCACTTAAAGAGGTACTGATTAAACTTATTTAGTGATGATAAAAATCAGTTGCTTTAGAAATATTGTTAATAATATGTTACATGATTTCATAGATGTTTGGAACATGACCTATTGAAGGATGTGGAAAAGTTCTTTACTTTTTCCTACACTGTCCTCCTAAAACAAAATCTGGGGGATTAAAAAAGCTTAAATGCTATCTCTTCTAGTCAGTGAAATTTGGTTTGTTAACCAAAAGCCATTCAATGTGACATTTTGATATAATCCCCTTTCTTCTTACATGTACGAGATACCTGGCATACAGCAGATACTTAGCAAATTGCTCTCTTTACTCTCCCCTGATTTACAGCGTTTGCTCATTTCCTGGTATAAGTGCTCCCACAATGGCCAATTTTAAGCTACCAAAATGACACTGAATGCAGTGTTGGAAAGAGGTGTGTACTAGTTGGCTTTCCTGAGCTAAGAGTGAGTTGGCTGTAGCACACCACTCACCAGAAATCTATGACAGCAGGATAAACAATATTTCCACATGATATTATTCATAGATTTCTATTTCTGTTCTTGCTGAAGAAACCAAGACACATAATAGATGCTTGGTAAGTACTAAATGAATACTGTTGACTGTTACTTTTCTAATAAATCTAAGGTTCTCTTAGAGAAAAATTAGTACCTCTGAAAATGTCTCAATTAGGGGACTAACTATAAAAAGAAATAGTGAAATGCTGACTATAAAAAAATTTCCCTCTCATCTTTAGAGAAAAGATAATTTATAAACAATGAATGAATAAAAAATATAATTTAAGCAGAATTATTTTATACTTTCCTCAAATCTGAACTTGTTTTTAAAGTTACTAAAGTATATGAGAAGCTCAGAATGAACTATTCTGCATTATAGTACTTGTAGCAATAAATACTGTATTCAAGAAAGCAATAAATATTTCCTAAGAGAAAATAAGATTACTTAAAATTGCCAAACCGGTTTGGCTCAGTGGATAGAGCATCGGCCTGCGGACTGAAGGGTCCCAGGTTCGATTCCGGTCAAGGGCATGTGCCTGGGTTGCGGGCACATCCCCAGTGGGAGATGTGCAGGAGGCAGCTGATCGATGTTTCTCTCTCATCGATGTTTCTAACTATCTCTCTCCCTTCCTCTCTGTAAAAAATCAATAAAATATATTAAAAAAAAAAGATTACTTAAAATTATCCAAATACATAAAGTCTATGCTGAAACCAGAAAGAGAATCTTTTAGTTCTTGATAGAATAATGCAAGTAGACTAAACTAAAGAAACTTCATTTTATAATCCTACCCTCACACCTGAGAAAAACACAGGGTGGGGCAAAAGTAGGTTTACAGGTGTGAGTACGTGAAACAGAGTTTATTCTTATACTAGTATTTACTAGTTATTGTATTATTTTTCATATGAACAACCATAAACTTCTTTTGCCCCGTCCTGTAAGTCAGTTTTAATGAGCTCAGCTGATAAGAAATACTACAAGGTACTATTAAGAAATCAGACGTTGCCCTGGCTGGGAGGCTCAGTCAGCTGGACTGTCGTACCATTGGGGTGTGTACAGGAGGCAACCAATCTATGTTTGTCTCTCTCTAAAAAATCAATAAACATATCCTTAGATGAAGATAAAGAAAGAAAGAAATCAGGCCTTGGTCTTTTACATTAAAAATAAGTTTTCTAAAACAAATGATCTATATTATTTGTAACATAGTTTGACATGTATACATCTTGATGACAAGGTAGCTAGTGAGGAACTATTTATAAATAAAAGAATACAGAACAGCTGGTTTTGAAAGGGTTTTAAAATAGCAGTTCTCAACCTTTGCTGCACAGTAGAATCAAGGGATGCAGCTAAAACAAAAAAATTCTTATTATTTTTTAAAAAAAGAAAACTAAGAAATCTAGATGCCCAGACCACAGCCCAGATGAATCACTTCAGAATTTGAGAGGCAGAATAAGCTAGGCATCAGTATTTTTTAAAACTCCCAGGTTAGTATTACCTGTGCAGTTAAGCTTAAGATCCACTGTTTTAGAGAAATTAGATTTCTTATTTAATAACTAGGGGCCCGGTGCACGAAATTCATGCACTGAGTGGTGGTGGTGGGGGGGGAGTGTCCCTCAGCCCAGCCTGCCCCCTCTCACATACTGGGAGCCCTCAGGCGTTGACCCCCTTCACCCTCCAATCGCAGGATCGGCCCCTTGCCCAGGCCTGACGCCTCTGACATCACTGGTTCTGCCCCCAGCCCCCTCCGATTGCTGGCTCTGCCCCTTGCCCAGGCCTGATGCCTCCGCCAGAGGCGTAGACCCCCATCACCCTCCGATCGCCTGATCGGCCCCTTGCCCAGGCCTGATGCCTCCGCCAGAGGTGTCAGGCTTGGACAGGGGACCCC